AGCAAGGGGCCTGTGGCCCTGCTCTCAGGGAGTGATCTCCAGGTAAACAGAAGACAAATATGATTGGATAATAGGTGCCAGGAAACACAGTGTGAATGACAGTGGGGGAGGGGCAGACAACCTTAGCTGGGGTCACCGGGGACAGCGTCTCTGACAAGGCAACGTTCCGGGGAGGATCTGACGGCCCAGAAGGAACCAGACACTTAGAGCTGCGTCACCTGGAAGAGGAAGAGGAATCCAGACAGTCGCTCCTTCCACAAGTCGGCGTGAGCGGCTGCTCTGGGCCGCACACTGCTTCAGGCACTGGAGTTAAGGCCGAAAACAAAACAGACCGACGGTGCGCTCAGGACGGGCTGAGAAGGCAGAGCAGGCAAAGGTAGCCCGGCCCACGGCCCCATGGCTTGGTGGTTAAGTGCTCGCGCTCCGATGCTGGTGGCCCGGGTTCGGATCCCGGGCACGCACCGAGGCACCACTTCTCCATCCATCCTGAGGCCGAGTCCCACACACAGCAACTAGAAGGATGTGCAGCTATGACATACAACTATCTACTGGGGCTTTGGGGGGAAAAAATAAATAAATAAAATCTTTAAAAAAAAAAAAAAGGTAGCCCAGCCCAGGTGATGGGGTCCCTGGGAGGTCAGGCGGGAGCAGCCTCCAGCAGATGTCCTGCCTCCCCTACACAGCCCACCCAGCTGGGAGAGGGTTGTCTGCAAGGCACCCTGCCGCTCCCCTACTCCTGGGACCTGCCCTGCCCGCTGCCCAGAGGCAGCGACCTCCTGGCAAAGGCCACTGGCTCCAGCTCCACTGGCTTCCTCTGTGCGCAAGGCTGGGCATGATGATCCGGCCCCTCTGTGGTCCACTCCTCTCGCTCACATTAAGACCCTCCCCATCAGCAGTTAAACAAGCCCAAGTTGTGTGGCCTCTAAGTCTAGCAGAGCTTCCTTAAAATAGGGATTCCAGGCTCCGCCCCAGAAGGTCTGAGGGAGGCCAGGGAACAGGTAGGCTAAAGGTTTTAAAAGGAATTAAATAATGAACAGAAAATGGAACAGACAACTCACCAAAAAAGATCTGTGCATGGCATATGAACAGATGCTCAACATCATTAGTCAATGGGAAAATACAAATTATAACCCCATAAGATACCACTACCCCCCTGCTAAAGACGGCTAACATTAAAAAGACCAACAATACCAAGTGCTGACAAGGACATGAAGCAACTAGAACTCTCAGGCATTGCTGGAGGGAATGCAAATTAGAACAGCCACTTTGGAAAACAGCCTGGAAGGTTCCTGTAAAGCTAAATATGCACTTACCATACAACCCAGCAACTCCACTCCTGGGTACTTCCCAGAGCGAGGAAAACAGATGCCCTCACTAGATCTGTACATGAAGGGTTACTGTGCTGTAACCAGAGCCCAAAACCAGAAAGTACCCGAGTGTCCATCAACTGGTGGATGGGTAAACACACGGAGGTCTCCTACTCAGCAACAACCGTGACAGTGAGGAGGGACGTCAAAGCCCTACCTAAGAAGAGAAGCCACTCACAAAGGTCTGCAATTTGCATGATTCCACTCACATGCAACTCTGAAAAAGCAAAACCAGGGCAGGAGGTGAGGACGGGGGGGAGGGGCTGACGGCAAAGGGACGGGAGGGAACTTCTCAGGGGGATGGAACTGTTCTCCATCGTGGTTCAGGTGGTTGTTATAGTCCCATCTACCGGAGTCAAAACTAATCCAACTGTACACTTACAACAGCTTATTGCATGTCAATTAGACCTCAGTGAAGCCACCAGGAGTAAGAGGAGGAGAGGGGAGAAGGAGGGAGGGGGGAAGGGGAAGAGGAGACCAGAGCAGAACCGGGCATCACCTGTAGAATGAATAAATGAACGTGTGGATAGATTCAGGGAAACGCTTGTGACAGAACCTTTCTTCCGAGTAATAAGAGGCCCCACACTTGAGTGGGGCACATGACCAACTGAAATCAGTTACATTTTCCTGGTTTTGTACAGCCAAGTACAACCACCTAAGTTCTAGCTGGTAGGACGTAAGCAAAAGTGCCACAAGAAACTTCTATGAAACATCTTTATAGGAAGGGGAAGGCCCTTCTCTACCGTGTCTTATTATTCCTGCTGGGGGAATGCAGATGTGATGCAAGAAGCTAGAGCAGCCAATTTGGATCATGAGGTGAAAGCCAAGCACAGAGAAGCAACCAATTCATTGCCATGAACTCATTCCTGAGATGGTAATGAACCTCTGTCTTGTGAAGCCACTGTTGTTGTGGATTTGCTGTCAGTTGCAGATATATCTAAGCCTAACCTCCACAATGCCAGAAACATAAGTTGATTTTGCCTACTGGCTAACACAAGACCAACATTTCCATACTTTTCCTAAAGCCCCACGCTTATTTCATTTCCCCACACACACAAAGCCGTGCCCAACTGACTTTCCCACTCAGCCAGCCTGCACAGCCCCACCTCCTCCCCAGAAGGCCAGCTGCCCCTCTGGGTGTACGGTCCTGCTGAGCCAGGACCTGGACAGGGCCTGCAGCTCCAGGAGGGGCTTGTGAGAGCTGAGTGAGAAATCATTTAGGAGAGAGACCAGCGGCCAGGGCAGAGGCGCTTCAAACCAATGGGATCAAAGGCCCGGACGTCACAGACACACAGGCCAACGGACACCAGCTGGCAGTGACTGGATCCTCTCTCTGGAACCAAGAGTCCAGCACTGCGAGCTCAGCCCTGCAAGGAAAGTGTCAATGGCAGGAAAACGTAAAGATGAGAACAAACCCAAGGTCTGGTGGCAGACTCTATCTTCCATTAAAAAGAAAATAAGTAAAAAGAGGTTACACTATGTTATCCCTTGTCTTCCAGACACAGTTTAAGTACAACTACTGAAAAGGACAAAGAGAAGGATCTCAGAATTCTGCTCTTGTGGAAAGCTGATTTCTCCTTCTGTATTCTCTAAGCTGTAAGCACTTTTGTTTTGATGATCTGCGATTTTTTTTTTCAACAAACTTACTGCACAGACAAGAGATATCAAAGTTTAAAAGTGCATTTACTGGAGCAATCAAGATGCAAAACAAATATTTCAAACAATAAAAATTCAGTTTTAAAGAGATATCATTTATAATAGCAACAAAAAATATGATCAAGAATAAATCTAATAAAACATATATAAGACCTTTTATGGAGCAAATTTTAAAACTTCATCAAAAGACATTAAAAATGGCCTAAAAAATAGGGAATTAACATGTTCATGAAAATGAAGACTAAATTTCATAAAGATGTCAATTCTCCCCAAGTGATCCATAGATTCCATGATATTCCAATCATAAATCAAACAGACTTTTAAAAACACACGAGAAAACTTGGCCATCTGATTCTGAGACTCACGTCAGGGAGAACAAAGGCCTACAACTGCACGATTGATCTTGAGGAGGAAGAAGGGCTGTGGATCCCCCTACCAAATATCGAGACTTCTCATAAGGCTGATTTACTCAGCAGGGTGTGTGTGGTATGAGGGAAGGCAACTTGAACACCAGGACAAAACAGAGAACACAAAAACAGCTCTACGCCAATGTGAAAACGACAGACCAGGAGTGAGACTGTAAATGTGGGAGACAAGATGGAGTCACAGAGGAGGCAGGGACTGACCGGTTACTGTCTGAGAAAGTTACACTGGATTCTACCTCACACCACACACAGCTGTCAATCACAGACGAATCAAACACACAGGTGTGAAAGGCAAAACGTTAAGACTTTTCAAGGAAAATATGGGAGAACGCCCCAACAATGCACGTGTAGGAAAAGATTCCTAAGCAAAGAACACCAGTGCTAACCGTGCATGAAGAGACTGAACAGTTCAACCACACTAACAATGTCTGATCACTAACAGCCACCAGAAAGAAAGTGAGAGACAAGCCTGGGGTGGGAGAAGATATTTGCAACACGAAAACTGACAAAGCATTAGAATCCCTAACGTATAAAGATCAACAACCAATAAAAAGTCAGGTCAACATCCCAAAAGAGAAACCAGCAAAAGACAGGAACAGCATTTCCCAGAAGGGGGAACAGAGGAGTCACAAATATATGAAGAGATGCTTTCCGCCATTAGTAATCAGAGGAATGAAAACACCCACCAGAGGGACAGAAGTGAGGAGTCTGGCAGTATCGAGAACTGGCAAGGATGTGGGGCACCAGGAACCCAATACTCCGCAGGGGACAGCTGAACTATATACGCCATCTGGAAAAATACTGACATTCTCTTGAAAGTTTTACAGGCCCACAGCCAACAACGCAACAATTTTACTTCCTCATAAATGCCCTAGGGAAAGTCTCGCCCGTGGGCACCTGCATAAATGTACTTGAAGCTTCCAGGTAACAACATTCCTACTAGCAAAACATTAGAAACAACCCAAATGTCCACCACCAGGAAAAAGGCTACGGAAAGTGTGCAATATTCAAATACTGGACTATTACACAGCTAGACACAGATCAGCTGAATCTTAGAGAATAATGTGAGGAAAACACCAAGCTGCAGAGACTGGACCTCACAAGGAATGATCCAGCTCCACATCATGATTTTCTCAGGATCACACGACATGTATCAAATCCAGGGAGAATCACCAACACAGAAGTCAGAGAGTGGTCATCTCCTGGGAGGGGCTTCAAGAGGGGGTGAGAACACCGGGCAGCTTCGACACTCTGGGTCAGATTCGGGTGGGGTTCTCGGTCCGAAATTGGGTGGTGATTCGTGAGTGTACACTATATATACACACACACGCATACGTTACCTATCTTCTTTTGTATGCATCGATACTACACAATAGAAAGGTTTTAAGAATAATTAGTGAGTCTTGTCAGCGATTATGCCCACAAGGGCCACCCCCCTGCCTGCTGTGAGTAAAGCAGTCCAACTGCCCCCACCTCTTACTAGGACAGTGGGCACCATTCACCCCAACAAAGGGACACTCCCTCCACAGGCTTCTCCGGATCTGGCTCTTACCTCCGTCACTTTGGGTTGAAGTATTAATGCTTCCGGACTCATTCGAGGGATGTCTATGTGGATCTGGAGATAAGAAGAAAGAGACATGTATTTCAAAAGATGACAAACATCATTACAAGCATTACGATTAAAAAGGCAATACGTAACAATGGCAACGAATTAACTTTGCATCTTCATCTGCTCTCTCTCTCTGAAGATAATAATTCTCCATGTTTGCGTTCTCCTCTGGAGAAGGTAGCAGGTTCTATCTGAACGGGGGTCCCCCAGTCCTCGCATGACAGGCTTGCTTGACACTTCCCAACCAAACAGCAGCTGCTGCGTGATTAGGAACAGAGCAGGCCCTCAGCTATTTAGTAACATAATCCATAGCAATTAGTAAACATTGATTTCCAGCCTCTGACAAGGGGAGCAATTCAAGTACATCAATAGTGTGCAAGTTTTCAGCTGTGACAGCTCCTTCTTGGAACCCAGGCCACATTTTCCTCCACTTCACCAAGTCTTTGGGGAATCCAGGGCACTTTTCAAAGAAAACATTTAAAAATCTCTGCCTGACACGAGAGTCATAATCAAGTTCCCCACGCTAGAGGAACACACCTGCAGGTTCAAGAAGCAACCAAATCAGGACATTGGGGGCTTGAGCTGGCATTGCGGGCTGGCTCCCAACATCCCACGTGAACATCCCGCACTGCTGTCACCACCCCTACTCACCCAGGAAAATGGCTCCGACAGGCTGAGGGGAGACCTGCACACGCTAATGCCAAGAGGGAGTCTACAATCCAGGCTCATCCCCTGTCCTTGCACGTGCCTGCGAGCATTCTCACAGCCAGGAGACCTGAGGCAGTCTCCTCACTCTGTCTCACTAGCACTGTGGCCTTGGGTACATCACTGAGGCTCTGGGCTCGGCATCCTCGTCTTAGAGGCCTGCAGCATCCCTCCCAGGGGTACTGCTGAGGAGCAAATGAGACGGTGGATCAACAAGCTCACGGGCCCCCTTAACTGCTTTTTATGCTAACAGCTTCCCGCCTTCAACTCTTCCCTCGGGCAAGAATCCGGAAATCAGCAGCCCATCAGCAGCACCAAGGGAGGGGATGCGACTGCTCAGGGGGAGAACTGGAACAGCGCCAGGAGCCGGCAGACTCAAGTGTTCAGGGAACACAATACGAAGCAGCGATGCAAGGAAGCGGTGAGAAAAACAGTGTTGGAGGAGAGCTCCACGGATACCCTGAACTGCCAGAAAGATGAACAAGTGGGTCCTAGGGCAAATTAAGCCTGAACTATCGCTGGAGGCAAAAATAATAAAACCGAGGCTGTCCTACTTTGGGCACATCAAGAGAAGGATTCTCTGGAAAAGCCAATAATGCTGGGTAAAACAGCAAGTAACAGGAAAAGAGGAAGACCAAACATGAGATGGATTGACTCCAAACAGGAAGCCACAGGCAGGGCCACAGGAGGTGAGTAGGGCTGCTGAGGACAGGACACTGTGGACATCCCTCTCACAGGGTCCCCAGGAGTCGGAGCTGACTTGAGCACATAACAACAAACCTAAGGAATGCAAGAAATAATTAGCCTCAAACCCTCCGAGCAACCCAGAAAGGAACTTAGTAAGCTGAGATGTGCATGCATCCCTGATGTGTGCTGAAGGAGACCTATGGGCAGCAACGCGGGGGACAAGAGGAGGAAGTGGAGGAGGAGGAGGAAGAGGAAGTGGAAGAGGAGGAGGAGGAGGAAGAGAAGGTGAGGAAGAGAAAGGGGGGAGGAGGAGGAAGGGGGAGGGGAGGAGGGGGAGCATTCCAGACGGGGAGGACTCCAGCCGGCCATGTGCAGGAGCCCAGGTGCAGGCCAGATGAGAACCCACCAGAGCTCATCCCCTTCATCAGGGCGTCCTGGAGGGCTGTCCTCAGAGCACCATTCCCACGCAGTCACACTCACATGGGCACACACCTGTCCTGGCACATGGAGGGCCGGCACAGCCCACCTTACAGAAGAGCTCGAGTGTTTGCTGAGCCGAGAGGACAGTACACACTATACACACACCCTGCCGTCACTCACGTCATCAGGAGGAGGTGGTCCAACGTGAGCCAGGGCACTGCGCGTGGCTGGACACTCGGGGCTGGTGGGCCCCTCCATACCACCTGCCCTCCCCCCACGTACGGACTGGGTGAGCAGGGCAGGTCACGGTGGTCTGCAGGGCTCCCCGAGAGGGGAGGACACACCGGATGAATCTTTAACTCTGATGGCCTCTACGAGCTCCGGACAGGACATCTTCAGTAAGAGCGTAGACGCTTCATCAAAGGAACAGAGGACAAAAGAGGCAAGGGAAGCAGGCGGTGCCCCACCCTCCTGCTGCTCCCAGTGGTGTGGGAGGGTGGGGGCTGCACACCACCGGCAGACGGTGGGTTGAGGTCAGGCCATGGGTCAAACACCATGAGCGGGCAGCAGGGAGAGACCAGGGTGCCCAAGGCCCAACCCGGCCGGGCTCTGCCTCGACCTCACAGTGTGCCTGAGACGGCCACGGACCCCAGGAAACCGCCACAGGTTACATTTTTCTCAGTTATATTAACGTAGAAACATTTGGGGAATTCGCAATAATATGGGAGCTTTTTATTACCTATCATAGTAACTGAATAAAGATGTATGCAACCCGTTTTTAATTAACTTTCCCTTAAGAAATTCATAACAGGTAAATCTTGCAGAATGCTACTGTCATCCTTTGGAAGTCTTTTCCTTGAATTAAATTATATCAAAAACATGTTCAAAACAATACCAAATTTACCCACTCCCTAAAACTAGCAAAGTGGAAAAATAAACCAGGTAAGTTAATATCTCCCTAACCAAATCCAAATGCAGTCTATCTCAAATCAGTTTCCCGGAGCGACGGGGTGGCAGTGCCGTGTGGCCTGGGTCTGAGACAGGACAAGCTCCAGTGCAGGAGCACGGGCCGGGCAGAGAGGGCCCTGCCCCGGAAGGCGAGGGCAGCGGGCTCCTGCCCCGGCCTCCCTACTCCTCACTCTTAAGCAAGTCAATCTCCCTCCAGAGCCTCCAGTGAATCCCCTCTGTAAGGAAGATGCTCTCCAAGAATCCATTTAACTTAAAGAACCTGTGATTATCAATCAGTGGTAAGGCCTGTGTTTGGACCTTTTTAACAGATCCATACTGAATTGAGAAACAGATGTGGACAGCCCACACCTGAGATAGAAAAATTCGGCAAAGCTCCACCTAGAGGCAGGGTTTCCGAAAAGAAATAGTCAATGCTGACATCTCAGGAAAATCCAACGTTCTCTCAGAAATATGAGGCAGTGCTACCAACTAAGAACTATTTTTTCGTTTGACTGCAGCACAAAGCATTTTGAATTTTCACATATTACAAAGACAGTGAGAATTATAAAGGCCTCAAAGAGCTATTCTAACAGCAAATTCTAAATACACTGTGAATTATAAATCAATTTTAGGTATTTTTCCCATTATGCACATCATCTGTCAACTGACTATTCAAGAAGCCATAATTATACCCATTTTGTATTAAACTAAACAGCAAAATGATAAACTGGCTACACCTCTTGCTCTGGACTGAACTGTGTTCCCCTGGAATCGAGCTGGTTAGCAGGGCTCTCTTCTATCTAACTCATGTGTTCCTGACTGCACCGCAGAGTACCACGCCCGTGGGGCGCAGTGGAGTCGCTCGTCTGACCCAACCCAGTGAAATGGCTGCCCCTGGACCTTCAGGTCGGACAGCAGCGCCCACTGCCACCCCAGGCAGATCTCAGGGTCCTGCACGGGATCTCGGGGATCTCCTGTGTAAAATCCTCTTCACTTTTGTAGACGGAACTGGAGATAAGCAAGGTACTACTATTAGAGGAAATTCACCATTATTCGTTTTCGTATTTATCAGAAAATAAAGATCTATGACCCAATCTAGATAAAACATTTCCTCCTCCAAGTCATCACCAAGTTAAAGCACTTCAAGTAACAAGCGAAAAGAGAAAAAGGATTCCCACCTGTCTATACGTATCTTGGTGAGCTTCATCATTCCTAGAATCGTAATAGTGCTCAATAAAAGCAAAATATTCTTTCTGTTTTCTTTGGAGAGTGGCTGGTCTTCGGTCTACGTTGGCAGGAAGGTAACCCTGGGTGAGTAAAGAAACAACAACAAAAGTAGATATGGTAAAAGCTAATTCACAGAGTATCTATCAGAAGTCTGAAATAAAAAGGCTCGCATCTTAAATGAGCTTAGTGGTCTGAAATCTGACACAGAGGGGAGGATAAATGGGTGGTGAAAAAAGAAACAGACATCAAGAAAGTCAGCTACCTGACCAACACAGCAAGCACCACACCCCAAGGCAATGGACAGAGGGCTCGGGCGTTTGCAGCCTTCCCCAAGTTGACTGAACTTGACCGGCAGCCATACAGGAGTCAGATCGGGATCTGCAGCCTGCTGGTGTACACCGCTCTTCTACCACAGGACTGAGAGACAAACCAAGCCTCTCCAAACACCTCATACACCACGAAGAAGTCAGGAGTCTGGATGGTCTCATAACAACCATACACATGTGTGCATGCATGTATATGTGTGTTCATACATACACATATGTACATGTGTGTGTTCATACATACACATACGTGCATATGTGTTTTCATATATACACACATATGTACATATGTGTGTTCATACACACACACATATATAAATTGTCACTTATGCACCTCTCTCCAAAGATTCCTGGGCTTTTAGCAGCCGCAGTCCCACTGCATAAAGTGGACTCAAATCCAGAAAGGGCCAGGCAGCACGGGGTGGCCATGAAGAGCCCAGACTCTGGGGCTAGGCAGTCTAGTGTTTTATATTTTCTACTTTTTACATCAACATTATTGATATATCACATATAAAATAAAATGGGACTCTTTTAAGTAAACAGTTCCGTAACACCTGTCAAGGGCGTACAGCTGTATAACTGCTACCTCCGTGAGGATACAGAGCATTTCCATCACTCGAGAACCTTCCCCGGGGCCCTCCACAGTCCATCCCACCCTCTCAACCAGGAGAACCCAGGCAGCTGCCTGTCCTAGAACTTCACGTAAATGGAATCACTCAAGACCTCTGCCTTGGTGCAAGGCTTCTTGCACTCAGCCTGTTGTCTTCTGAGATTCTTCCAAGCTGTGCATGAACCAGCAGTTTCTTTTTCTTACTGAGTAGTATTCCAGTGTATGGATATACCACAGTTCATTAAGCCATTCACGTGTTGCTGAACATCTAGGTTGTTTCTAGTTTGGGGCAATTACGAATAAAGTTTCTTATAGATATCCTTTTACAAGATTTTTACGGACCATCCATTTTTATGGATTTCATGGTTAAATACCTAGGAGTCGAGTTACTGGGTCACAATGGAGGTGTGTGTTTAGTTTTCTAAGAAACTGCCAGATCTTTTTCCAAAGAGATGATACCTTTTAACACTCCAACCACCAATGCATGAGAATCCCAGATGTTCTACCCACTCCCTACCACTTAGTATTGTCAATCTCCAAAAATTAGCCATTCTAGTGAGTGGTTTAATTCACCTCCCCAATGAGTACAGATGTTGAGCACCTTTTCACACAGCCATTCACCACTGTTTCTCTTCTTTGATGAGGTGTCTGTTCAAACCTTTTGCCCATTTTTTAATAGGGCTGTTTGTCTTACTAGTGAGATTTATGAGTTCTACATACACTCTAGATACAGGTATTTTTGTCAAACATGTGCGTTGTGACTATATTCTCTTAGTCTGTGGCTTGCCTTTTTATGTTTCAAACAACATAAGTTTTAAATTTTCATGAAGCCCAATTTACAAAGTTTTCCATTTATATTTAGTGGTTCTTGCATCCTAAGAAAGATTTTCCCCTTGTTTTTTTCCTAGATGTTCTCAAGCTTTACCTAGCCACCTCCTTTTCATCCCTGAGTGTCTCTTCAACGGTCACTTCTTCAGGAAGACTGACCTGACTCCCGAGGCGGGTCTGGGCACTCAGAGCTCCAGCAGCACCCGGCATGGGGCTCCCCAGAGCCAGCCCCTCCCTGTGCCAGCCACATGGTAGGCACCCAAACTTTTACTGAGTGAATTCACGTACAGTCATGCGCCACATAATGTTTCAGTCAATGATGGACCTCACATATGACAGCGGTTCCGCAGGATTAATTCCATACAGCCCAGGTGTGTAGTAGGCTGCACCATCTAGGTTTGTGTACGTATACTCTATGATGTTCACACAACAACGAAATCGCCTAAAGATGCCTTTCTCAGACCATGTCCCCATGATTAAGTGACACGTGACTGTATGAAATGAAAGAACAAATATACCCCACCCAATGTTTCTGCCTTTTGCAGTGCTTCCACATCTGCAGTAGACATCACTGTGTTTACTGCTAAACATCTATGCATCCTGTATTCAAACAGAGCCCTGAAGATCCTCTGGGAACCACATCTCCCTATTCTCAGCCCATGTACCACCCGAAGGTGGGTAATCCTCTTCCTTCAGGACAGGTCTTGACGGGCTAAGCTAAATAGCTACACCATCCCACTGGCCACAGTGACTGATGGGCTCAGAGGGGACCCAATGCAGGAGCAAAAGCCAGGCCCAGGAATTTCTTTGCTGCTGCTTGTGAACTGAAGAGAATGTGCACAGTCTGGAGCTGTGGCAGCCACCTCAAGACCATGAAGAGAAACTGTGAGCTGCAGGTCCACTCTGAAGAGCTGACTTAAAGGAGAGCTGAGCTCAGAGCTGCCATGCCTTGATGATGAAGTCAGCCTGAATCCAGCCACATCTTTTCAGCTGTGTGAGCACACACATTCCCTTTATTTCCTTAAGGTATTTCTATTAGCATCTATTCTGTGTAGTAAATTACACACTCACACATTCATTTTAACACATTTGGATCAATCCATTTAAGCTTTTTAATAAACATGTATTGAAATATAATGTGCATGTATGTATGTATGAGCCCAAAAAGTGTGTGTGAATTATCACAAACTGAATACGTCTCAGGGCCCCTGGGAACCTCCCAATAAGTGTCCCTCACCCCCTCCTCAGAGGTAACTCCCTGACTTCTAACATTGGGATAAATTTTGCCTATTTCTGAACTTTACATAAATGGAATCATTTTTTCTCCCTGGCTGCTTGCTTAAACTCAACAATACCTTTGAAAAATTGATTCATTTTGAAACGTAACAGTAGTTAATTTTCACCATTGCATAATATTTCCATGTACAAAATCCATTCTACCATTAACAGACATTTGGGTTGTTACCAGTTTTTGCCTGTTATAGCACACGATATGCATTTTAAGTATACACCTGGGAGTAAACTACCAGGATATGAATACCTTTGACAGATTTTACTAAAGAATTTTCCCGAGTGATTACACTTCCATCGGAAGTGTACCAAAGTGCCTACTTTCCACATCCTTGCCAACACTTGGTCTTGTCGAACTTTTCATTATAGCCATTCTGATGGGTCTGCAGTGGTCACCTATTAGAATGCAGTTTTCATCACATTTTCCAGAAGATGCTTTCATATGTCCCCACCCGTGCAGTGCATGCAAAGTGTAGTCCTCTTCTTCTATTAGGTCACCTGCCTTTTTCTTACTGATTCTTATATAATCCACAGGTGAGCCCTGTTTTAAATATCTTCTCCTCCCCATCGTGGCTTGCCTTTTCTCCCCACGAATGATGTATTTTGATGAACAGAAGTTCCTAACTTCGACATAGCTCAATTTATTAATCTTTTATGCTTAGTCCTTTTCATGTCCTTGTTAAGAAAATTTCCTTTATCCAACATTCCGTGCTTACATATCTCACTTTAAAATTGTGACCATGGGGCAGGCCCCGTGGCCTAGCGGTTAAGTTCAGCGTGCTCCACTTCAGTGGCCCAAGTTTGGTTCCCAGGCGCAGACCTACACCAGTCAATGGCATCCATGCTGTGGTGGCTACCCACATACAAAATAGAGGAAGACTGACACGACGTTAGCTCAGAGCGAATTTTCCTCAAGCCAAAAACAAGAGGAAGATTGGCAACAGACGTTAGCTCAGGGCAAATCTTCCTCAGCAAAATCGTGACCATATTCCCATTATCATTATGTATCGTTCCTCTACAGGGGTCAGCAAACTACAGCCTACTGCCCATTTTTGTAAATAAAATTTTGTTGGAGCACAGCCACGCCTGTTTGTTATGTACTGTGCACACTGGCAAACTACAGTGGCAGGGCTGAGCAGTTGTGAAAGAGACCATGTAACCCACTGAAATACAAGCTAAATATATGCTACCCAGCCCTTTACAGAAAAAGTGTGCTAACCCTGCTCAAAACACTGATCCCGAAGGCTAGAGAGCTCTCCATCATGTCTTTATATTTATATGTATTTACAGTTAGCCTTTCCTCTATTCCTGAACATTCTGACTATTTACAATTATCAGTATTCTAAAATACGTGGCAGTGAGCAATGTCTGATTTTTCCTGAGGTAAATGTCCTACAAGGGAATTGTCAGCTCAAAGGGATATGGGATATATTTAAGGTTCTTGATGCCTTGTTTCCAAGTGATCCTGCCAAGAGGTGCAGCAATTTACACCCCAGCAGCCTTGTCACAGGTGTCACCCGCCCTCCACCCTCACCAACAGCGAGGAGCGGCCCCTGGGAAGAACACCTGCACCAACATCCATTCCATTAATGACAACTGGTGGGAAAGGGCACATTCGCCAGAGCAGTCCAGCTGACAAATACACACACAAGGCAGACCGTCAGAGTCCCCAATACGGAGGAAAGGCGTGGCTGCACTTCCCCCTTGCCTCTATTTTCTGGCCAAATGACAGAATGCTAATATTCCAAAGAGCTGACCACTTCACATAACTACAACAGCGACAAAAATAATAGCCAGCCCCCAAGTGTACAGTGAAGTGCCAGGCATGCCTCTAAGAGCCTTCCACATGCTAGTCCACTAACCACCCACCTGAGCATCTCCATAATTAGTCCTCTGCAGCCAGCACCATCTGGAATACACCGATGGAGCACCCAACACAGAGCCCTCCTCCTGTTGGGTACCCAGCCCTGTCCCTGCTGGGGGAAGAGGAGGTGCAAAGTTCCATCAGGGGCTGCTCAGCCCCAAATGA